TGTCAACACTATAGTTAGTTGTAACATGAAAAGAAACAATTTTATTTAAAATTGATTCTTTAGAAATCCCAGTTAACTTTAAATCATTAATTGCAACATCTTCAGCATAGTTGACTAAATTACGAAGTAGTGAATTATTTTCTTTGCATAGTTTATGCGTTACAGTTTTATGAGCTTTACAAAACCTACAAAAGAAATTGGAAGAAAATGATCTGCTAAATTCACTGATAGCGTTTATTCCTAAATTGTCACCAATAAACAGTCCTAAAATAAAATGAACTTTTTTGACACCATTTGTAGTTGTTATGTTGATACCATTTACTTCAATATGATTTAATATATGTATCAATTTATTAAAACATAAATCATTTCCAAAATCTTTAACATCGGCAGCTTTAATTAAAGCAGCTAAATGAATGCTTATTAATTTTGATTGGTCAGATAAGGGAAAACTATAGTATATAGCTGAAATAGAATGAACCGAAGCATGCGACCCTAACGGGTTATTGATTTTGAAGTCATCTATGTACATAAAATAGGGGATTGTAATTTTACCCCGGTAGGGTAAAGTATTTTCTTGCCACAATTTTCCCTGTACATAATGTTTTATTTCTGTTTCATTATTTGTGTTCTTTGTCAATTGTTCATAGATTGTTAAAGTTTTATCTAAGTTGTTATCATGTTCAAAGAATTTTTTAAACTGAAAATTTATTGGCAATAATACACCCTTAGTAATTTGGTTATTATACATAGTTTTACCTAAGTTAGATACTAAGTCAATCTCTTCATTAACAGTAAATTGTTGAATGTTTTCAAATAAGTGATTTTCAACTAACCAACTGTTTAAAGAATATTCGGTATTACAAAAATTAAATGTATCAGATATTGCTGATGTACCTAATTGTTTGAAAAGTTGCTAATAAAATTGTTTCTTTAATTGTTTCTTTGGTAAAACTAGTAAGTAAACTCACAATTGGTTCCAATAAACTTATTTTCATTTTTTGTTGGATATCAAAAACATCTTTTCTACCTACTGAAGTTATTTTTATTAAGTAATGATAAAGTAAATGTAACTGCAGAAATATGAAATGAGTTAATGATACTACTTAAGTCAAAGGAATTATGACTTTCTGGAGGGTTGTTGATTATAGTTGGTTTTGGTTATATCATGGCTATAGGCAGTATCCAAAGCACAGAACAACTCCAAAGGCTCCGGGGTTTTAACTATAGTGTTATTAACATTGTTAATATTATCGCAAATAGTATAAGAATTATTAAGTGTTGATGTAGGTAAACTAAAAGTATTTTTTAAGTGCTTTATTGTAACGTGTCTTTTATAAACAATGCCCAAATTTAGACTAAATGAGTTAAACGTAATTAACAGAATTGTATGCAGGATTATAATAATTTGCATTATGGAGTAGTAAATTTAACACGCATACGAACATATTTTTTATTATTGATATGTATGTAAAGCGTTTCATTCAATGAGTATTAGTGTAAGTTTTCGGACCTTTTCAAAACGATAGATATTAGACACAAAAAGAATTTATAAAAATTAATATTTACGTTGAAAATTTGATGCTGCGACACTTGCAAAATGATTTTAAATATTTCTAAGATAACAACAGAATACTTGTATCACATAAATTAATTGATAAGATACCGTTATGGAGGTAAAGCTAAAAGATAATATTTTTGCCCCAAGTTGGCCCGGTTGACGGTAGCTATTATGGCAGAGGAACAGTTTCTCTGGATTCTGAACTTTACTAATTAGTAATACAACTTACTGCATAAGTGCATACGAGCAACTGTTTCATAACACGATACACGAAAGACAAAAACGATAACAATGAATTGATCAATTTAACTTTTTGTGTATAAATAATCATGATATGTTATCAAATTAATTTTATACGTTATTGAAATAATAATAATTATTGTCGATTTGCAACAAATTAAAATATAAATAGAATACGAATCTTGCATTTGCTGGAAACTAAGTTAATAATAGCATTTATCAATCTAAAGTCTATACTTACTACTGCAATGATAATGGTTTTATTAATTTAATAAATTCAACGTAATGTTATTTTAAATACATCATTTTTTAAATCAATAATGCAATTATTAAATAACACATTACCTATATAAATAATTGTGATTGTTAAAATGTGAAAATACATAGTATTCATTTCAATAAACCCAATTGTTGTTTTTAACATATAATTAATTAATTTAAACATATTTGTAATAAAAATAATAAAATAAGAATTGATTCAATGAATGTCAGATTGTTAAAAATTGATAATTTTTTATTATTATTTTTACTCATGATATTTGGTTCAGTGTATATAGGTAGGTAGGTAAACAAAAACACTCACAGAAAGTAAGTCGGTACCTACCTATATTATTAAAAACTAAGAAATAAGGCAAAACTACAGATAATAAATTATAAATTACCTATATAAATAAATAATATAAATATTTAAAGTCACCATGGTAATGACTGATTAGTGTGAACTGTGTTCAAATGTTTGGGAACATTAATTTTTTTTTTTATGGAAGAAAATTAATTTCACTCCGAAATATCATAGACTATATCAGGCTTAATCTAAATTTTTATGAAATAGGTATAATAACCCAGACAATACGAATAAATTAACTCAAAAGTTAACTATGATAGTATATTGACTAGGATTTGACTAATTACAATAAAAATCAAAGAATAAGCTTATTCTAGTACCCAAACTATTATATATCAATTATTATAAGTACGTGAACTTGATCATATTATTATAATTTATATAAATAAATAAACAAAAAATATACTTACTTGATCAAATTTGAGTTTGAACCACAAATCACAAATGAACTTACGTCAAAATGTATAAACAATAAGATTATAAGAATAAATACCACGAACTCAAAGTTTTAAACGGCGACGGTTATAGTGGACAAACGAAAACAAAATGATTCACTATTATTCACTATTCACTATTTTCTATTGTGTAATAATAATATTATATTATCAATTAATAAGCGCGCGCATACTCGGTACCACAGCGAAAATGCATAGTATAACATAAAACGAATATTCTTAGCATATAACATTATCATATACAATGAATATGCCGTATAGATTCTAGATAGTATAGAATATGTGCATCTTAAAATAATAAATGAAGAATATTCTATTCTCATTCAATAATAGATATCTAATATCAAATATGGTATATACGTATCGTATCTTCTGAAGTGTCTGTATATCTATAGTATGAATCAGTGG